TGTTCCCAGTCCCCCTGTTCCAAATTGTCCTCCTGTTCCCAGTTGTCCCCCTGTTCCAAATTGTCCTCCTGTTCCCAGTTGTCCTCCTGCTCCCAACTGTCCACCAATACCTGAGAGGGAATAAAGATTATTATACTATTTTGACATTTTTCTTACATGATGTCAATAATAGAGGTGCACCGATTACAGTTTTTTGGCCTACTCCTATTTCCATTTTTTTGTACTGTACTGTACTGTATGACAACTGTTACTCAAGGACTGTGCGGCTTATGTGTGTATATGAAATAGGAGGTACGTAAAGTTAGTGAAGTGCCGACGTTACAGAGTTTGTGATACACTTTTTGTACGTTTGTTACGTAGAAAACAAACATTCCTAGATAAACAAGAGGCTGGCTAGTTAATAACAATTCAACAATACAACTCCGTACCATATTTAGCTGCCTTAGCAGCAGCCTTAGCAGCAGGGGAATATCCTCCTGTTCCTAGTTGTCCTCCTGTTCCCAGTTGTCCCCCTGTTCCATATTGTCCTCCTGTTCCCAGTTGTCCCCCTGCTCCATATTGTCCTCCTGTTCCCAGTTGTCCAGTTGTCCCCGTTCCCAGTTGTCCCCCTGTTCCATATTGTCCTCCTGTTCCCAGTTGTCCCCCTGTTCCAAATTGTCCTCCTGTTCCCAGTTGTCCAAGTTGTCCTGAAATAGAAAGGAAAACATTTTGTACTTTTTTTTGTACAAACATGTGTTAATATATGACGTTAATCTCAACTCAGTTTAGACTCTGCACCATATTGAGCTGCTTTAGCAGCAGCTTTCGCTGCAGGAGAATATCCTCCTGCTCCTAGTTGGCCTGGTAGGAGTTGTCCACCTGTTCCTAGTTGTCCACCTGTTCCCAGTTGTCCTCCCTGTCCAACTATCCCTATGATAAAAAGGAAAACATACTTATAGCAACATATACGTATACATGACGAACCGCCCCCACACTGTTATCAACAGTCGAACAACAACAACAGTGACCTCCTTAGGTCATTACCCTACATTAATTAAATGCTCAACATATATACAGTACATATGTCACACATGACATCGTAGACTCCCAACCTGTACATGTTTTTTTTATGTATGACCCCGTATGTATGTGTTGCAATATGTATTGTTTTTTTCCCTAGGCTAGAAAATTATTTTTCACGAAAAATAATGAAAATATTGGAAATTTAAATGTTGCGGTTTAATGTCGTTTAATGCTGCGGGATTGCATTAAAAAATCTGCGATGTACTGAGGGAGTGAAAGGTGAACTGCGATCAAGAGAGGGACCACTGTACAGTATACTACCTGTCTAAAATAAGTACAAATATACCCCACCATATTTAGCAGCTTTGGCTGCAGGTGAATATCCAAATGGTAGTCTTCCAATAGGTGCACCACCTGGTAGCAATCCAGGGACCCCACCTGGTACTCCACCTGGAACTCCACCAGGTACACCTCCTGGAACTCCACCAGGTACCCCACCTGGTACTCCACCAGGAACTCCACCTGGTACTCCACCAGGAACTCCGCCTGCAAATGAAGAAAACAATCAAGAATTTTAGAAGTAGAAAAAACAACAACAACAATATAAGTCATTGAAATATTGGGAAATCCTTTATTATTTAGATCTATACATTACCATATTTAGCAGCTTTGGCAGCAGCACCATATCCTGTAAAACCATTTACATACACATGTTAAACATGTAAACAACATTTTATTGCAACAATTTAATCTGATTAAAATAATTAAAATGGAAAAAAATATACTGTAGAAGGCTCAAATTATTTAAATACCAAATTATTATATTTAAATATCAATATTTAAAGTTAGTAGTAGTTTTCAATAATTTACTTTGGCTAAGAAACGTACCACCACCAACTCCACCAACTCCACCAACTCCGCCAACTCCACCAACACCGCCAACACCGCCAACACCGCCAACACCGCCAACACCGCCAACACCGCCAACTCCACCAACTCCACCCAGACCTGTAGTAAAAATCACACATTTTATTTAACATTATTTTGAAAGGTTCTGTGCCATTGTGAGGGCCTCTTGTTTTAATAAATTATTTCAAAGTACCATATTTAGCAGCTTTAGCCTGAGCAGCTGCTATGGCTCCTGGTCCCACACCTGTAAAAGGTCAAATGTTCATGACAGATTCAACTAAAGCTTCTATTTGATTCTATGATATATAAATGATCAGAACACACCAGTTCCTATTGGATACCCTGGGCCACCTTGTCCTCCTGGTAGTCCAGCTCCACCAGCACCAAAGCCACCGTAACCTAAATTATTAGAATGTGACAACTCAGATCAATCCAATTATTGTATCTGCAGTACAACTCCTGTTACAAAAATGTTTGTGTGAAACAAAACCCAAATTTTACCAAAGGGAAGTTTTCCACCTCCAGGTTTGGCTCCATATCCACCTGAGAAGAAGAAAAACATCCAGTTGGTTAAGGTTGGTTTGGTCAGGTGTTTTCTGGTGACTCAGCTGTAGTAGGACGTAGTACTGGTGGTGGTGAGAGAGAATACAGGACTGTGGTGGATAACTTTGTCACATGGAGCAAAAACAACACAGCTACAGCTCAATGACAGAGACAAAGACTAAGAAGTTGGTGGTGGACCACTGACCACTGTCAACATCCAGGAGGTCCGTTGGGACATTGTGGGACATTGGGACGTAAACTGGACTGGACTCAACAAATGCAGTATGTTTATAAAAATGGTCAGAGCTGTCTCTATTATCTTAGACAGCTACAACCTTTCGATGTTTTTTTTCTACTTTCATCCAGCAAAAAATTTGAATCAATTTCATTTTCTCTTCATTAGCTGCCAATTTTTAAAAATTCAGTTCAAATTTAATGACCACTTATTTGTTTTGAAGCCCTGACCAATCACAGCTGAGTGGTTTGATAGTTCCACACAGAGAGACTAGAGCACCGAGGTCAAATCAAAGCTCGAACACCAGCCCCATCCCACCTTCACATTCATATATAATTAATTACTGGTTGTGTTTTTTAAACACCTGAAGGTGTTGTGACACTGTTGATGTTTCGATCTGCTTTTCATGTACACCATATTTGATTTCAATTTATTGTTTGTTGCAGTTTAATCCACTTTATACACTCTAAAACCCTGTGGTTTGTTAAAATGATCTATGATTATGTCAGTGTTGTTTCATCTTGGTTGATTGCAGATGCCGTGGGTTTGAATGAAAATATGAGTCATAGAAAAATAGGTTTTTATCTCAACAGTGTCAAGTCTGAGGACAAGTCGCTGAAGAATGATTTGAGTTTGGGTTCATTAGCGACTTGGATCCAAGTCATGTCTGAGTGCTGAAACACAAACACTGTCAAAACATAACATTCTGACTGTTTAGTCCTTGTGCAGCACTCTGATGTTTCATGGAAGAACTGCAGAGCTTGACCCTGGTGGCGAAATGATTAATGGCACCATTTAAGACGTTTCAAAATGAACTTCCTGACGCCGTTTTTAAAATACCCTCTGTTTATCAGAGAACAGATGAGACAGGTACTGTCAGTTCTCAGCTCTCACCTTGTGTTGAAGGTGTCTTGAGTGGGTATCCGTGGAAGACTCCTGGCTGCATCTGGCCGCCAAACCCACGGCCGCCTGTGTAGAGTCACATTCAATCAAATATCAATCTACTGACACCACAAACTAGAACAGGAAGAACCATCTAGTAATGAGATCACCTTGCCCCGGAGTTCCGCCTTGACCTCCATTTGCAACTGTGTTGGAAAGGAAACATTTACTAATACAGAATAATAACACAGGTCAATCAGTGTATTACTGTACTGTATGTCATAATGATAGTTCTATTATTGTTAGTATTACACAATTAAATAGCAGTTTAGCGGTTTAAATTTAGTCAGGATTAGGACTTGATATTACTGTGAAATAAAGTAGTTTACAAATACAAGTGCAATGATGATCAGACATTGTTTCTATTGGTACAGAAATGAACACAGAAATGTAAATATGTTTATAATACCCTAAGACCTTACTGGATTTAGGATTCAGGTCAGTGCCGGTTGGAACTCCAGGCAAAACTCCACGTCCACCAAACCCTTAAAAGAGACCAAAAGAACAGGAAACTTTGTAAGTTAATTCATAAAATACTACACAAGATTAATCAGGAGCAAAGGACAGACCTTGTCCTGGTACTAGTCCACCTTGGTAAAGTCCAGGCACCCCCACACCTGCCACAACCAGTGAGAAAAGTCAGTCCATATTGGAGTTGCAGAATATTTGATAAAATCTTCCCCTTTTTAATTATTATTATTATTTTAATTGGTAAATTAACAGGCCGAATATTGAATAAATTCTGAATATAAAATAGAAACTTTACAAGTGATTTTGAAATTCTAACATCTTCAAGAGCTCTTTAGATGCATGAGTATTAATCTGAAAAAAATAAAAAATAAAATCTATGAATGTCTGCTGCAAGAACTGGTTCAACACTGAAATAGTGAAAGTATTAATGTAATCCCTGAGTCCAAATACTGTATTATTTTTCCAGTGTCGGACTTGTCTTTGTTGGCCCTGAAGGCCTCTCATGTAACAGGAAGGTAGTTTGATGTGGCTGTGCTGGCTGCTCAGTGACATCCTGTCTGCCTCAGGCTTTATGTGTTTATTGTTGAGTCTACAAAACCTGGCACTTTGGAAGCTTTCTTTCCTGCGGCACCCCCGGCTCCTCCTCCTCCTGGAAGGCCTGTCTGGGGAATAACAGGCACTAAAAAAAAAAAGAAATAATAAAAAAAGTAACATCAAATGTTACTTGATCCCAGGAATGGAACTTTTAAATATGTACACAGTGAAAAACAGTTGCTGATCTCTGTCATCCAAATAACTCTCACTGCGTTTCCAGTCTCACAGAGACTTTGCTGAAAGACATCATATGTAGTCAAATGACGACTTCAAACAGCTTAAGCTTTGAAAATGTACTTTACATAGATAAATAGAACTGTATTAATCCCTTAGGGAAATCGAGGATTTCGCATTTCAAATGTATCAAACAGCTGTAAGAGGAAAATATTAAGCAGAGTCTAAGAATCATGAACATTTGGAGAAGGATGAAGTTTGCATCTGACTCACCACCACCTGGCAATACACCAGTTCCTGTACCTCCAGGAACTCCTCCAGCCCCCAGCACTGTTCCTCCAGTTCCTGTATAAGAACATATACTCCAAGCATGAACGTGAAATATATTCACATATGTATATAACATTTTATACTACTACCTTTACTACACGGTATTAACTAAATGTGTAATAGTGTTTATAACCACCACTAGGGGGCTCTGTGACATTGGAAAAAGCAGCAATCAGAAGATCGTTTGCACTAAGACTGGTGCCAGCTCCTTAAACTGACCATTGGCACTGAAATCCACTGATCTGGTCCTACTAGTCTGTCATCACTGGATAATGAAAAGCAACACGGCTGATGTTTAATCAAATCCGGGGAGGCAGTCAGCATGCAGGGCATTTGCATTGCCTCATCAAATGCCTCATTTCTTTGGCTATCCCCCCCGAGAAGGAAATGAGCTGTCACCTCAGCTTGTAAGAGGGTTTGGCTGCAGGATAAAACACACTCATTTGTTTATATTAGTTGTTTTCATAAAAATAAGAAAAAAAAATTCTAAACTGGACAGACGTTGCGCACTGCCTGTAAGTATGTGACCTCGGAGACTCGGTGAGAAAAAAAAAATTGGCCCAGGAATGTTGTTTTATCTGTGTTCTCTTTCAGGGGAACATGTTGTTTTTCTTTTAACATCATGAAACGGGCTGATGCTGCAGGGACTGCACCTCAGTCAGTGCCAACCGATACTTAAGAATGGGCTCACTGCCGTTTTCATTCAGTCCCAGTGGTGATTGGACCTTTCTGTGTCTATGGTAAATGAGCTCGGCTGAATTTAAGAAAATGTTCACATACAGTACGTGGCACGGAGCCCTCTGGGAGGGGGGGTGAACTGTCTGGGGGGTTTTGCAGGTATGTAAATAGATGAAAGTATGTGTGTTTGCCAAAACACTGTTTGTAAAGTGCTGATAGGATTTGTGTGAGAGTCCAGAACAGCTTAGGTCTTTCATCAGGTCTGGAGTCAGCTCACCTCCCTGTGGTAGCAGATGGCCTCCTGCACCTGTGGTGGGAACGAGCAGAGGTTCAGCTGCATTCATTAGGATGTAGGAAGTAACAATCAAGAGGCCTAATCAGAATTAATGGGACTTTTGTTTTTGTATGACGCAGCAGAACCCACTGGTGGATGGTGGAACTACAGAAATTGACCCAAACTTAAGTAAGGTATGGTGGAAAATTGTTTTCAAAAGTGCGGACGTGTTCTCATGTCAAGGCAAGGAGTGTTGAAGGTGTCTCTGACATCGATATGTTTAATTTGTGCCACACTTAATTTGCAGTGACTTTTTATTTTATATATTAACTGCAAATAAGTTAATATATAAAATGAATATATTAGTTTTAAATAAGTTCAATAGAGTTTCAATAGATATTAGGGGATGCCAATAGTCCGTGTACAAAAGAGTGTTCTGCAGAAGAAGTTTGGGAACCAGTTCTATAACAAGAATTTGAAATTAAAATAATAAAATAATTGTCTTCTTTTGCACTTCACAGTTTAATTGTGTTTTTTTATGTGATTATTTTGTTTTGTAAAAAAAAGGGATGAAAAAATATTTTTCAACAGCATTTGTAGAATTTTCTAAGGATGTACGGCTCCACATATTATTATCGCAACAATCTGCACTTTAGACTACTTACAGGTTTCGTTTTCATACAACAACAATGTTGCATCATCACACGCTACACATGTATGGGGAGATTCAAACTTTGACAGCTCCCCCTGCAGGGGAGGGAGTGAGCACTACATCATTTGTATGTAAACAAAATTCCTCCATCCAGTTATTTTAGATTTGATCTTCTAAACACATTTGTCATTCAAACCTATAGAACAGAGAACATGATGGAGCTGCATCTTGACTGATGTCTCCATACAAGTTTAATGTTAATATTGGAGCCGAACATGAACTTGGGGGCATTAGCTCACAATATAGCAGCCACCAAAACAAACAGCCAGCAACAAGTCAGTGGAATATAATCAGCGTGCCGTGCCAATAATCAGTGTACGATCATAATGTCTGATGATCCTCAGTTTCCATCACAGTCAGCGAGCCTTCAGCCCAGCACTTTAACAAATCAAGGCTTTGGCCGCGAGTCCACGGGGGATTCATGAGCAGGAGATTATTCAGACCTACAGCTGAGGCAATTACCAGAACAATGGAAGGTAAATCACCATCAAATGCTTTTAACGCTGTCTATCATCAAACTCAGAATCGGCCGACGGCAGTGAAAACACTTCAGGGAGTAAAGGCTAAAAGAGAAGTTTATATCTGCAGGTAGATGAAAGACTTTGTTTTAAACATTTGATTACAGGAAGTGTCAGAGAAAGGCATAAAAGAAAATTATGGCCCAACCATTTAAAAAAAAAATAGTAAAGAGCCTCCACGGCATTTTGTTGACAGATTTAAAAGTAAAAAATAAAATGTGGTTTTTATCGCCACCTGGAAGCTGTCACAGGTGCAACAAGCCCTGTGCCCCGGGTGTACAAGTGCAGCAGTACAGCAGAGCTGCCCTGAGGTTGAGTTGCTGGTTAGCTGGAAGTTTTCTGGTTTTCTTCATTTTTATATTAAAAAAATAATTTAATGTTAATCCCCTTAAAAGGCAAAAAAGCTGCAGCAAAGGGGGAAAATAACAACTGTAAAAACCCAGCTGAAACATTCGCACAGTCCTGTATGTCCAAATGTTATATAATAAAAAGTAACTGAACCACATTCATTGGATAAAAAGACAAACGGAAACCGAACCTCTTTTGGCAGCTTTCTGTCCAACTCCGGGGAAAAACCCTGCGGTGCCTCCGCCGTATCCACCGTAGCCGCCTGAATCAAACAAGACAGAGCTGCAGTGTCGGCCGTACAGATTTAAGACATGTTGTAGGCTTTATGGCCTTGTATAAATTCTTGTCATAATGTTCTTACCTGCTGTCAGCTACATGTTCAGTGTAAAATGTTGCAGTTTCAGCACTCACCTCCTCCGGGGCCCACACCTCCAAGACCACCAACTCCTAGATTGCCGTAGCCTGGATGGAAGAGGACGTGATGTATGGGCGGTGGAGGAAAGGAAAAAAAATGAAGTACAGATGAAGCCAAGAGGGTCAGAGAAAAGAAGCAGAGTTTTCTGCACCACAAAGAACTAAATATTCAGAAGTAATTGCCCTTTAATAAAAAACAACTCGTCACTCAGTATTTCATCGCAACGTTTTCCAAGGGCAAGAAAGAACTGCAGATATTTTTTTTAACAAAAATAATAAGCGCATTACACATGGCATATTTATGCATGCTCGATTAAAAATGATTTAAAAACACATTTTTGTTTTCAGAGCCAAGGACTGCGTCCTCAGGAACAGTGGAGACAGCTGACACCACTGACTGAGGAACAAGGACACAATGGTCGTGTTCTGGTCGCCATGTGCTGTAAACACTCTAGATAAAAGTTTGTTCCTCATGGGGAGAAGAACCTCTGACCAGATCCAATCTTTAGCCCTGAACTGATGCAGAAGGATAACTCGATACTCAATAACTTAGATTCTCATGTGCATCTGATGAAATTCTTAAAAGTGACATTTATGTTACACAATATACTATTACAACGATGACTGTACAAGGTTTTGAACTGAAATAATTTTGTAGGCATTTGGTCCTAGTTAAAATTTATTATTGAGAAGATATATAAAAGTAAAAGAATTCTTGCTCTACAATGATTATATTTATTTTGCTTCATTTGTGAATTTCCTCACTGTGGGTCAAATAAAGGACTTCTTATCTTAATTTAAATGTGTTTTTCTTTTAATGAAGCCTTGCAAAAAACTCATTGTTCAATGTTCAAAAACTTTGCTATTGGATGAAATTTTGTTTTATTTAAATTTTAATCAATAGGGATTACAAGGCCTCTTTTCAATTATGTACATTATTATTAGTAGTATGATGGTATTATTATAAGATATCCTTCAAACAACATAAACCTGTCTTTCACATACACGTACATTTAAAATCAACATCCAAATACCACTGAGTATTTTATGTTTCTGATTGTCGTCTGAATAAACTGTGTAATTATGGAGACATCTAAGCAGTAAAACAAAATGATTATCTGTCAAACTAATGATCAATGACTGACTAATCACTGAAAAAAGTCAACTCCACAGTTCTACCATTTAATAAAATAATATAAATAATTTAATAATAACAACAACAACAATAATAATAATAATATTAATAGTAATAATAATAATAATTATTATTATTATGTTATTTTTAAGAACACATCTTTCACATACATCTATTTAGAAGGTTAAGATTTTTTTTGATGATGATTAAAATAAACTTTTCCAAATTCCTTTTGTTATTTCATTATTTTGATGAGCATCTGAATAAACTTCATAATTGCGGAGACGTGAACTTTATTTCGGGCGGTGCTTATCTGTCAATCAAATTATCAATCAATGACAACCCGACCCACGAAAAGGCAGCCCAAGTGGACTCCACCTGTTTGTGTTGGAACCGTGGGCTGCAGCCAACGGCTGGCTGCGAAAACTATTTGTTTCTGTCTATTTTTCCACAGATAAAACTAGCACCTACTGACTGTTGCTGATATTTTTCACCTAGACTTGTCGTGTTGAAAAAAGTTGAACAAGTTCATCAAACATGTTGGAGTAACCACTGTTTCTTTGACAAAACTGTTTAAAAGCAGCCAATGAGCACATCCCCCGAGAACGTTTTTTCTTTAAGCATACACGCTACTGTAGCCAAAAAGTCTGGGGTAAGAACAACTAGGAATGGGAAACAAGCTGA